TTCCACCCTGATTTAACTTGAGCTGGCTGACCCAAGTTCGTTCACTATTCGTGATTATAGTGCTTCTTTGCAAACCGCGGTCATGTACTGTACAGACCTTCAGTCAAGGTCCTGACAGAAGTGTCGACACTTACGCCTCTGTTAATAGTGCGGTCGCGTTCTCGGCGACGACGAACTCCCAAAGCTGCTGCAGCTGCAAGCCCTCCTTCTCAGTCACGGGCCAGCGCATGAATACGCCCGGTTTCCCCCAAGACGCATCGACTCTGACGGTCTGACCGGGTGCAAATTCCTCTCCACTCCACAAGTGCTTGTACGCGAAGGCCGTCGAGTTGACCGTTGTGCCCTGGCTGTCGACTTGAAGTAGAGGAAGGTACATGTACACCTCAACGCTCGAAGCTGACAGATCGTAGACGGGGGCCACGTACAGAGCCTCGCCCAGCCAGCGATGACGGCACGCGCGACTGAGTCGTTTGATGAGTACACCATTGGGTGGCGAACAAGAGGCCAGTCGTTCATCTGGTACTCGTCCAGCAACGGCAACCGGTACGGGTTGAGGCTTCGGAACAGACGAGCATTGAAGGCCTGGGCGTTCATCTGCGGAATGTTACCTTCATGAGTGCGGAAGGCCGTGCCGCTGAACGCGCCGAGCTCCCCCCAACGACCCAGCAGCGCAGTGTTACGAGTGATACTTCCCACCGTGGCCGATGTGTTCGTGTAGCCACCGATGTCAGAGTGAGTCCCGAAGCACCGACATGAAGAGTGCTGCTAATGACAGCGCGCATTCCATCAGAGATATTCGTCAATGTTCTGGTCACCAACCCAGAACAGGTTCGCGTGTTTGGCTGAAAAGGTGCCGGCGCTGCGATGGTGTCGTTTTGGAATCCCAATTCAGTCATGACATCGCGGAGTAGTGTTGCCCAGAGGGTCGGATAGTCATTATGGAAGACGCGTGGATCGATCGTATCGGATACACCGGATAGGCTCACCGAGTCGTCCACGGAAAGATACTCACCGCAATCCTGCATCATACCGGAGATTGGCACCGAGTAGTATTGCTTCTTCACCAACTTCTTTAACCAATCGATCGTTGACTGGATCGACAGATCCAACAAGCCAGCATCGACCCAGGCCCACTCATAATGGTCCACGCACTACCATCGCCGGCTGTGCATTGGCAACGAAGCGTCCCTCACTGACTGCGATCTCGTAGAAACTCGTGTTGTATCCCGTGCTCTTCGTGCTCACGTTAGTCAGGAACGTGTTGATGTAGCTCATGGTACGCACACCAGACGTAGATTGCAGGTGGGGCACCCACCTAGCCCACGTCGGATACAGCGTCATGTCAGGCTCCCAGTTCCACCACAATCGGTGGAGCGAGACGCCATACGCACCCGTCTGAAGTCGCGTCCCGGGCCAGTTCTGTAGCCACACGCTCATGAGTGGCATATTCGCGCTAAGATCATTCTGAACGACTTCCTCCACGAAGTCCTGCCCGCCCAGGATCGCTCCGTCATGAGACCAATCCGGTGACTCCGGCTGACGTCCAGTGACTTTCGCTAATGCGTTCGTCGCCTCCAGCAACGGGTTACTCTTGGCGGCACGGCCATCCAGCCATCTTCATGTAGACTGGAGCTATCATACACGATCTCCACGGTTGTAGTTGAGCCTGTAACGTGGCCACCCTCCGTGATGTTCCCGGCGAGATATCAAGCCGCAGTATCCTCGAACGCTGAGGTGGTGTTGCTCGCATGATCAAAGAGAGCATACTTGGTCCCGTCCAGAACGACCCAGCGGCCGTGCGAGGTCGTAAGAGAGCCTACATCAGTATATGTCGTGAGTAGTGAGCCACCATCGAAGGCACCCGAGATTGAGGCATTCTCGTTGAAGTACGTGGTGACGGGCTCCTCGCCGCGGCCGACGCCACCTTCACGAGCACGCGTCAACCGCGGAGGTTTCCAATGCCGGTTTGCTCGCCCAGGCCGAAGAAGGCTTTGTCCTGTGGCGACTCATACGCCATGTACACGTTTGTGACGCTGTCTCCGACGACACTTGCATTAAAATAGCGGTTAGGAGTCATCAGCACTCAACGATAGTAGTAGTGCAAATGATAACGTCCAGTCCCAGCAAGCATCTCCGAATGTGCCGCTAATGTCCACGCGATCGGAGCTAGAGGACGTCACACTGGAGATGGTAGCAGTCTGACAGGAAGCTCTCACATTCTCGCTGCTCAGCTAAAAGTTTCCAGACGCCGGCGTGATCGTTGTGATATGAAGGCGCGGTCCTGTGCAGCTACAGCAAATGCAATGCACAGTCAGAACAAAACCAATGGCATTAATCATTCGAGACTTACATTTCCAGACTTGATCTCCGACACCATTAACAATTGTTACAGAGGACGCGTCCGTGTCGACAGTAACAGTAAAGGGCCCCAGAGCGTAGTCTGCGGTGGTGGCTCTGGCCTGCGACATGCTCGCGCCTGCGATGGCTACCACAGCTAGCGCAGACGCTAAACGCGGGAGATTGCGATGGCCTGCGGTTTCTTCTTACGAATTTGCTACCACGGGCAAATGGGAGAATGGAGATCGCACCCTCGGCATCCAACCAAGCGGGTGACATTAACCACTTAACTTGAAGTTCCCCACCGAGAAACAAAAGTACGACCCCCCCCCCCCCAATGATGCCACGCTACATCAAGCGAGCACACCAAAGGCAAGTACTGTAGCGTAGTCCTGTACTGTAGTTCTATGGATCGAAAGCACCCAGGGATGTATTAACGCCGAGCTAATGGCCGCCGTTACTATTACATACTGTACTAGGACGGCGTTTTCATCAACAGTACAGCTTCGTACCGACGATGTCAGTTAACGTTAGCATCTGCAGTATTTCAAAGTATCTTCTACTACCTGAAGTAGTATTACCAGAGGCACCAAAGAATGCCATTGTGCTGCATCTCAAGTGGATCTTTGCAATGACATTCCTTCCCAGCTCGATCCTCCAGTGGAGGATCGAACTGGGTCGTTGGTGGAGCCTGAGGCTCCACCAGCGACCTTGATGTCACACACAATCGCCACACAACTGAGGTGGTGCCATCTGATTGGCCCTTTTCGCGCTCTCCCCCCAGTTCAACTCGGTCTTAGAGCAGCTCCAATACGTGCAGCATGGACTTCTTGCGTCAGCTGGCCGCCGACCTGCACGCGCTGCGGGCGGAGGCCAAGCGCAAGTATCCTGTGGTGAAGGAGGCTGTAGATCGCGCGCTGGAGGCACTACCAGCTCTGCAGCAGCAGTACGCGGCGCTACTGCGTGTGGAGGGACGCGCACCCGGTCCGGGTCACAGCCTGTTCCAAAGCGAGAGCGTTCTGCGGCCCTTCCTGCTGGCCTGCAACCACACAAACGCGTCGCACAAGATCCTGGTGCTAGCGCTGTCCAGTATCCAGCGTCTCGTCAGCTGGGATGCCATCGAACCTGCCAGCGTCGGCAGCATCCTGCGCGTCCTGCAGATCCAGGCCGAGAAAAACACACACGCGGATGTGCAGGTCAAGCTGCTACAGACGCTCTTGCAACTCATGACGCTGGCGTATGAAGAGAAGGCAAAGAAGCAAGTAAGAACGGCGCAGGACGGCCAGACTCCGACCCCAGCGCCAGGTCAGGACGGGTTTATTTTTGAGATGATTATTAGTTTAGCTGGGTTTAATCCGTCGCAACTGTGGGTTTTAAAATTGCAGACAGCGAGCTCGTGGGCAATGAGGATATGGTCATGCAGGCCGTGTGGATCTGTATCCACCTGCACGCTTCGAGCAGCAGTGCCAGCTCCATGGTGGGCAACACAGCGGCCATGACGATCCGGCAGTTGGTGTCGCTGGCATTTGGGAAAGTGGATTCCAGTCCAGAGGCCAAACACGTTGGGGTTTTATTGTTCCAGGAGTTGTGCTTTATGAGCCGAGAGGAGAACGGTATGTGGCTGAAACGCACAACTGTGTCGCCCATGAGTGCTGCTCTGGGCGTGGAGCTGCTGGAGACGGTGCTAGCGTCCCACTATGGGTTGTTTCGCCTGGATATCGAGTTTAAGGCAGTGCTAAAGCAGCAAATGACCCCGTTGGTGCAGTCAGTGTTGGAGATGGGCTGCAACGACAAGCACGGCGGCTCTGTAGGCTCAGGGATCATGGGACCGACCAACTCGTCCATCACCAGCAGCAACACGAACGGCGCTATTGGTCCGTTCTTCCCGTTGCTAGTACGCGGCATGCGACTGGCTAGCACACTGCTTTGCCACTTTGCGGACTGTCTGGATAAAGAGTGCGCTCTGATCTTGCACGCGCTGCTGGAGATCATCGCGACGGGGACCTACTCTACCCCGGATGCGTCAAAATCTCCGCCGACACCGTCGAAATCCCCGGATTCGAAATTTCACGCTGCGAACGCAATTGCAAATTTTAAAGAAGCCAAGAATTTCCTGACGCATTCGAGCTCGACAAGCGCAAGTGCGTCCAATCCAACCAGCGGGTCTGGAGGTGTGAATTTCGTCACGTGGCCTGTGTTATTGTCGCTGGAAGTGCTCAATCGCGTGTGTCTAGAGCCCGACATGGTGGCTGCTATGGTGAGTTACCCGGATGGCGTGTTGGTTGCCATCACGCGCACGACGTCGTCGGTGATCCTGACGTCACCGCCATCGGATTTCAGACCCCAAGGCCCCGACGGAGCCACGCCGCGCTCAGGACTTGAGCTGCTGAATGAACAAGAGACGCCCGTGCTGCAGCAGTTTTTCATGGCTGTCCGCGTGGCTGCTTCGTGCCAATGCAACATGGCTGCTTCTGTCTTTGAGCTGTCGAGATCCACCGACAATGAAGAGATCTGCGAGAAGCTGGCCAAGGCTTGCGTTGCCGTGGTGGCGCCTGCTGTCATTCAGTCGATGAATTGCGTGATGCGGCACTGTCGCGAAGTGGATCTGGTCACGATGTCGCTCAAGTCGTACCACGTCTTGGCCACCGTGGCGTCGCGTCTTCGAGCGAATATGCAGAGCCAGAAGGCGAGAGAAACGTGGTGCAAGCAAATGGACGAAGTGGTGCTGACTTGTCTACGTGCGCTCTGCGGGTTCTCATTCCCGCTGCCAGACGGAATCCGAGGCAACTCGAAGGGATCGATATCCACCACGGGGTCTGGGAGCAGTGCGTCTGGGGATTATCCGGATGAAGCAACGACGGACGACGGAGAAAGCTGTCTTGTGGTAATCAGTTGGCGAGAAGTGCACGCGATGAAGGCGCTTTTCGGTGCTGCACACGTCATGGAGGAAGAACTGTCGCAGAGGGGGTGGTGTGTGCTGCTGGAAGGCTTCGAGATAATCGTGGGACTCACAGACCCCAAGCTGAAAAACGGCCAGCAGAAGCTCCCGACCAAAAATTATCGGATCAGCGCCTTCCGGATGGAAAATGAAGACGTGGAGCAGCAGCTCGTGATGCTCAGTAACTCGATCGTGGATTTCTTCCGTGATGCGCTCACGCTGAGTAGTGTGGCGCTACGTAAACTGCTTGCTGCTGTTCGAAGAGTGTCGTGGGAACAAGTGGGTCTCCCCGTGCCTAACCGAGACGCAGACTCTACGCCTGACTCCACTGGCTCAGCTGACGATTGGACGTTGGTGGACGATGGAGACACGTCCAGTCCTGCCGGCAATCACCACATGAGGATTTACCAGAGCTATTTGGGTGTGGGGCTCACTGGATCGGGCACCTTCATGCCATGTTTCGCGCTACGAATGCTCACTCAGCTGGCGTCAAGCAGTAGACGGTGCTTCGAAGAGGTGATGCGGGAACTCGTCCTCATGAGCACGTTCGTGCCCCAGGCCCCACTCACGGCAGCGCAGTTCCCCCAACTGAACCAGTTCCAAGTCTTCACGACGGAGAGTATCCTGCTACTCATGCAGAACGCCCTGCAAAATGTTGTCAACAGCTTGTCACCTACTGCGAAGCCCTCGGTGGAAGCTCTCGACGCCGCCAGACACGAGGAAGGTCCTGTGTCTCCGCACGTGTTCGATCAGCAAGAATTGTTTGTACCGCTGCTGAAGCTCGCGCGATCAGATATGAGAGATCGCACATTGACCGGCATGCTGGAAATGCTCAACGCCTGTGGCCACCTGATCAGCGCCGGATGGCCGTTGATACTGTCAGCAGTTCAGGAAGCGTGCGAGATCGGAGACGGCAAGACGCAAGTGCTGGCTTTCAAGTGTTTGCGACTCATTGTAGACGACCTGGTGGTGTCCATACCGAGCAGTTATCTTCCCGACTGCATCAAGTGCATTGGACGCTTTGGAAGCTACGCCAACGACGTCAACATTAGTCTTACAGCGGTGAATGAACTGTGGAGTGTGGCCGATGTGATTGGGAAGCAGAAGACGCCACAGGAGAGCGACCTTAGCAAGCGGAAGCAGGGTCAGTGGGGGTGCATCTTCTCCGAGTTCAGCTCCGTGGCGTTGAATGACCGCGCCGAAGTGCGGAACAGCGCCATCAACACTCTGTTCGGCACTGCAGTGACGTACGGCGCTCAATTCGAGCTGAACGAGTGGCAGCTGTTCATCAACTCGACTGTATTGCCACTAGCAGCCAAGCTGTGCGAGACTCAGAGACGGAGGAGCTCTCGTTCATTGGAGAAGGAAACGCCCAAGAACTCGGCCAACTACATGCTGCACCACTCACGCGATAACGCTGAAAAGCAGTGGAATGAGTCGCGAGTTCTCATGTTGACGGGAATCAGTCGCGTGCTGGAGACCAACTGGCATTATCTGCTACAACACACGTCGTGGTTCGCTTCGATTTGGCGCGAGTTGCTGCAGCACGTAGCACTGAATACTGCGTTTGGGATGCCCAAGGAGGTGGTGCTGGCTGCTGTCAAGACGCTGCAAACGCTGCTTCAAGTGTCTTCAGCCGGGGACTTTGACCACATCGCACAGTCGCAACCTGTTCGTGCAGGTGTTGGGATGAGGGTAGTGGGAGGAGCTCTCGTGTCTTCAGCTGCGTTCACTGCTACTGGACTGACTCCCCCGAGCTTGAGACGGGCGGCGTCTGCCCCGGTGTATCGAGATCCTGCGCTGTGGGAGGAAGCATTCAGCCAGCTACTGCGTCTGTGCGACGAGAGGCAGGTTGCAGCGGAGAAGGACGATCACCCAGCGCTTCCCTGGAAGGAAGACGAGGAACAGGAGATCGCCAGTGCTGTGGTGTCGGTGCTGGTGGCTTTGTATATCCAGGCGAAAGAGTACGAGTTCAAGGACGTGAGGAATGTGGAGAAGATGCTGGATCTGTTCGCGTTGCTGGTTTCTCGTCACGTGCTTGGCTCGCCTGCTGTTGGCAAGGGAGCGGTGACCAAGGCGATCACGAATATCACAACGAACAGCTTGCAGTCGCGTGTTTTAAACGCGTTCGAAGAGTGCGGCTCGTTCGTGTCCCACCCAGAGGTGCACGCAAAAATGCTGGACCAACTTGTAGGCTACGTGACCCAGTCGTCGACCCAAGGACTTCGTCTTCTTCACTCGTCACGCGCTAACGTCCCTGGCCAAGCTGTACGCGAGCGTCTCGAAGGAGGCGCGGGAGAAGCGATTCTTGTCGGTTCTCTTCTGTATCCAGCCCTTCTTGAAGTTCGATGGCGGTGTTACCACGCCCGAATGTAGCTCTGAGAAGCCGATGACTGCGGCTCAGAAGGCAGCGACGCAGCTGTGGAAACATGCGCTGCGGGTGCTGCTGGTTGTGATCTCCAGTGGACTGGTGGCTGTGCGACTGGCTGAAGCGTGTTGGAGGCCGTTGCTGGAGACGATCGCGGGCTTTGTGCAGCCAAATGGAGGCAAGTTCCCGTCGTGCGTGCAGTCCGAGGAGGACGAAGTGTTGGTGCTGAGTGTGCTGGAGTGTGTGGTGGACAGCACGATCGCATTGCTCAGTGACGGCAGCGACCTCAAGTCTCATGTCGGACAGCAGTACCAAGCGTTCATTGGGGACCTGATCGCACTGCTGTGCTCGGGCGTGGACGCCGTGGAGCACAACAAGGGGATGATACGGTGCTGCGTGCGTCAGTTGACCACCATGTGCATTCAGATGGCAGACGAAGAGCTGGCGGCGTTCGCGCGGGCTCGATTGGTGGCGTGCTGCAACACGGCATTAGAGCGATTCGCTGAATTAGATCCAAGGTTAAGCTCACCAACGGATACGACGATTGCGGCGAATTCAGGTGGCGATCTTCACGTTGTAGCAGCCCGCGAGAGAGTGGTGGTGCTGCTGACCAGCGCACTGGAGGTGGACATGCAGCCGCGCAGTATTATGGAGATGTATCCGGCACTGTGCGGCTGCATCTCGTCGTCCAATTTGGAAGTGCGACAACTCGTACAGCGATTGCTGCTGAGCGGAAGGCTGGCCGAATTCTGCTTAGAGCTCATGGATGCGTGGGGGCGTCAGTCTCGTTAGAATTAAAGCGCTGCGAAGTCCTCGGCGCCGCCTGTGTTGACAAATGAAAGTGAAACATGTGGAAAGTTTCCTATGATCAATCGTAGCAGGTCTCTCTCAGTTTTGCTAACTATTGGGCTATTCGCTTGCTCTCACAAGTCGAGACATTACGTCGCGATCCAGGCTTCTCAACACGCTTCTTGTATCTCTGCGGGAGACGGCGAATCGCCGTCAGCGATGCTTCTGAAGCAAAAGTAAAGTGGATGGCCTTCTGGGTTCAGTTTCGTTTTTGCTTCTTGCAATTCAGTAATTTATTTTGCAGTAAACATTTTTATTATTGTACTTCAGTACCGACTAATTACTGGCAAAAATAACAGTTAAGGGAAGTGGTCAATTCGAGGCCGGTTTTGCAGGTGCAATTTTCGGCAAGGCACTGCTTCGGACTCGAGCCTCGGAAGTCATAACTTTTGACAGTTTTGGAAACCTCCGGAATCCCTTTTTTTTTAAGGTGGTGATTGGCACATAATATGACAGTGCTGGTCGCTGTATTGTTACTTAAAGAAACCACTGGAATTGTGGCGGAGGTTCAATTAAAGGCCGGTATTAGACTTGTCTTGAGTATGTTCATTGGTACACCAGCATCAGGGCTAGGTCTACTAGAGCGGTGACTTTCGGTCGTACTTAAGGCATTATCATAGGCTACTAGGTTTGAGAGGTGATGCTATTTTGGAAAGGACTGCATTTCCAGAAGCACGCAGACACAGACAGCGCTCGAAATGTCGAGCGGGGCGCCGGCTCTGCTCGAGTCATCAGAGCTCCGCTGCCACCCGGAGAACCTCGTACGGCTGCTCATGCGTCATGGCTAGCGACTCTTACCTTTTGCTGAAGCCAAGACCTCCTGTGTGATGTAAAACTGCCCGGCAGGGTGGGGGTAACGCTGCCGGATTGACAGACGCACATATTTAACCAATTTGGTACGGCAATCTTTAGGTTCCACATACTTATGAGGTCGTACTGACAGTTGCTCTGTCTAAACTACTGTAGAACCTACAATATCACTACCAGTGTCAACGCTTGGCGACATCGAGGTCGTCTTCTTGCAAGGCTTAGCCCTTGAACTACTCGTGCTCGCGTGTTTGCGACCTTTAGCTCCCGATCTGGCGGTGAACGCTTCAATTTCCTGTAAGACCTCATGTGTCAAGAGACGTCCGCCGACGGAAACGCTGCTTCTGAAAAGCTGTTTCGTCCATATTAAAGACCCTCGAGCTGTCCAGTTTCAGCTCAATGATAAGCTTTGCCAGGGTGTTGAAAAGCGTAGTTAGGTCACCATGAACAACAAAGTTACGCTTTGTAGCAAGCGACTGGGCGGATCGCACGGTCAGCGCTGGATAGCGCTTTTTAAAGCCCTTGTACCAACCGTGGCCCACACGTTCGCCACAGCCCAGCAGGCCCACTTCCTGCGCCTTTCGTATGATCACGGCGCGCTCGACTGGGTGGCCAATGAGCTGTCGTCCTACCACCCAGTCGTATAGATGGTCCTCCGCTGCTTTCGGTAAGAGCGTTTTGGGCCCAGGCCGTCCGGCTTTCAGTGACTTGCCCTCCGCTAGTGCATGTAGCCACTTTCGAATAGTTCTCTCATGAACGCCAGTTACAGCGGCGACGTCAACCACTGTAGTGCCGGCTTGAACTTGAGCGATTGTTGCTTGTTTAAAGTCCACCGTGTAGGTAGGTGTCATCGAGCTGGTTTGGAAACGAAAGCTGCTTACAGTAGCGCTGCTTTCTGGCAGTGATCGCTCTCCCGCCAGCATTTCGCGCCTAATCTGTATAAATTTCTGTGAGTTTCGTACTTAGTTGTTTATCTACAAATGGCATGCTGGAAATCGTAATACACCGAATGCATTGGCTAATACCACACCGGCCTCGAATAGATCAACCGGCCTCGAATTGGAAGTTTCCCTTAAGAGATGGCAGTGAAAGAGCTAGCTCTTAAAAGTTAAAAAAAAAGCTGTGTTGCCCATTAGAAAACAAAAGAGTAGAAGAGAGTGGGCTCTTTAGCTCTTCACTCATTCACTACCATAGTTAACTCTCTCTTTCTCTACCGCCACGGTAATATACACTTCTTAATAATTCTTAGCTTGAGAGGTGCGTTTTTCATCCTCCAGTTTTATCCTGTCGAAAACTACTACGTAATGACGAGCGAAGCTACCTTTAGCTTTGCTCATTGAATTTTGCTTCCTACACACTTTTTTTTTAAAATGAAATGTATGCACAATGCAGTATGTTGACCTGTTTAACAACTTAATAAATGTTCTTACTCGATATCCCTCAATTCGAGTACCTCCAGATGGAACGAATTTAGTGCTCTGCGAATCCGACCATAACTTCTAGATTAAGGTTCTTTATGCCCTCTGTCCATGCTGAATGGGTAGTAGAGACGTATCACTATCTATGCAAGCTTTGATCAGAGTCAGAAAACGCGATGAGATGAAGAAAAGAGTAATTGAAGATGATGTTTCTGTCAGACTTTAACGGATTTGATGGTGGTTTGACATAATATGGAACGAGCACATTATATACAAAAATCAACTAGGACGCTCTACATGGCTACATCGAACCCAGCAGCACTAGCTAGTAGCAACAAACTTTGAGCGTCTCTGTTGTACAAATTGACTCGAATCGGCTCTGAAGTCTTCTCTGTCTCAGCCACATCATTGTTGTCAGTCGACAGGCTTGTCTTTTTTAACTGCTTCGTTGAAAGAAGCGACTTCTTGTGCGCTTTAGCTGCTTTAGCAGCTTTCTTTTCAGCTGCAAGTCGACCTTGTGCGGCCTTCTTCTCCAGTTGTTGGCTCTTTTTCTCTGTAGCAGCTTCTTCTCGTGCGACTCGCTTTCTGCAGCAGCTTCCTCTTAAGCGGCTTGCTTTAGTACGGTGGCTTCTTTTCGTGCAGCTTTCTTCTCTATTTGTTGGATCTTCTTCAAAGTTACTACTTTTTCTCTCAGCTTCTTTTGGATCTCTCTTTCTTTCGCTTTTTTCACCTTCGCAGCAGCTTTCTCTCTTCGAGCTTCCTCTGCTTTAAGAACCGAGGCTATCATCTCGTCTCGTGTCATGAGCACACCGCCTTCGACAAATGTTCGCTGTCGTTTTGAAATTGGCTGTGATGAGTGAGAGCGCGGAACAAGTTGTAATAGCTGCTGAAACCCCAAAAACGCTGCGTCGAGAGATTCAGGTGAGATGCCTTGACGGTTGAGGTGTCGCTCCTGTCGTTCTGTAAGAACTGGGGTTTGGACAAAAAAATTGATCGCTGGCATATCGGCTACTACAGGTTCGCTTCCAATTGTTTTTGTTGAGCATCACATTCACAGATAAAGGAAACATTCCGATGTTCTCGAAAGACTCTTGGCAGAACTCAGGACTAATAGCCCCAGTCCATTGTCTGGAGGCCCAATCGGGGAGGGTTTCGACATCTTCATTGCCTCCAACGTCTTCTTGGTCGCGCAGACTAGTGAATGAAGACGCAAAATTCATTGGCTCAACAAAACCTGCCCACGCCATGCTAACGAGGCGAACAAGGTCGTGCTTCGTGGGCTGTGGACGTCCAAACATGATGGGGAAATTACTCAGCAGAGTCTCGTAGACCCGCTTCAAGACGGAGAAAATTTTGTTGTCCAATGGCTGTGTGAAGTGACTGGTGTGCGACGGTAGAACGAAGAGTTTAATATTGTGCGCCTTCGCGTAGTTTAGCACCACACCACTGATGTGTGAGAAGTGGCCCATCCAGAATTAATAAAACCGGCCGCTGTACGTTCTTCTTTGTCATCTCCTTGTCGAAAAACTTCAACCAGTGCAAGAACAAGAACCCGTTGATATTCGAGGACTGGGACATGGAGCAGACAGCTCCATCAACGGCTCCTTTCATTCACTCTAGCTGCCTGTTAATTCCCGGGAATATGAACATCGGAGATATGTGGTCGCCCGCAGCGCTCACACAGGCCATGGCTGACATGTTCCCGCGATCATTGGACCGCACAACGTTAGCTCGCATGAACTTGGAGCAGATCACACGGGGTGGAGCTCTGCCTTGTGGGCAAAACCCCGTTTCGTCACAGTTCCAGACTTGAGCAGCACTTAGTACTTCCATAGCCTCTTGCAAGTTAATGTAGTATGAATGAATGCGCTCCTTTGTCGACATTTTGAAGCGCTTGACGTCCAGGATTTGAGCCTTTTTTGCGAGCTAGCCGGTCGCTGTGACGATCAACAAAGCGCGTAGGCCACCTAGAAGAAGGAAAGAACTTGGGCATGGCCTTTCATGCCTTTGTGGCTATCTGTCGTGCAAGAATGCGCAGCTCCCCGTCCGTCATGCACACACCCAGCTTTGAACGGTACATAATCACTTGGGCAATACCCTCTTCTTCGTGGATTGACAGGGTAGTCTTGCGCCCGGACTGCCCTTCAGCGTTAACGCCCTTTTTCAACCGCCGATGTAGACTTGTTTTGGACACACCAAACGAGAAGGCTGCTCACCCGAGAGAACCACCTTCTTCCTTCACCAAGTGCATAGCCCCGGCAAAGCACGCGGCTCGACTCTCCCGATGTTCATTTTGCTTAGTCGGCTTGGTAACCATGAGGCTTGGACTGTGCTTGGTGAGATCGATTTTTAAAATGGTAGTTTTCCCTTAGTTTTTGGTTGTTTTGGTCGGGGTAAAAGGGAGGGGAAGGCCCTTGATTCCTCTTCCATAACAGAGCGACTTTAAATATTGCCGCCAAGTTGCTACAGCAACATCTACGTTCAAAAACAACATCTAAAATAACACTTGTATCGTTCCACATTGTGTTCAATTCCACATTGTGTCAGCTGGGGATACTCTTGCTTTAATAGGTACCCTCAACTCTACCGTGCCAAAGCGATATTTTTTGTTTTGCAATAAGAGATTAAGATACTGAAGAAACGCTAACAAAATTTGAGTCATTGCCCAGATACTCGAGATATCGATAAGCAGACGGGCTAGGTAAAATTTAAATAGCG